AGCTGGCGGAGGATAGACAAAAAAGGGGCCTCACCGGGAATCGAACCCGGGACCTCTCGCACCCGAAGCGAGAATCATACCACTAGACCACGAGGCCACACTGGTGACGTCTACTCGCCACATTTGCACTCAATATTGCAAGTGGAGACACTACGCACGATACGATTGTGCTCTGATACGGACGACGATATGCTTCTCTTTCGGCGCATGCATTCCACCGTCAGTATCAGCTCTCCGAAACTGACTTTCGCTGCAGGCGCGATGCGACTTGGGAGCAGACAACGTTTTAACGAGGATCAGTCGTGACTATGTAGCCGTCAGTATGACGCAAGAAAGCTCCGTCGACAATGCAACATCCAGCTGGCGGAGGATAGACAAAAAAGGGGCCTCACCGGGAATCGAACCCGGGACCTCTCGCACCCGAAGCGAGAATCATACCACTAGACCACGAGGCCACACTGGTGACGTCTACTCGCCACATTTAGCACGCATTATTGCAAGGTGGAGACACTACGCACGATACGATTGTGCTCTGATACGGACGACGATATGCTTCTCTTTCTTCGGCGCATGCATTCCACCGTCAGTATCAGGGCTCTCTCCCAAACTGACGTTCGCTGCAGGCGCGATGCGACTTGGGAGCAGACAACGTTTGAACGAGGATCAGTCGTGACTATGTAGCCGTCAGTATGACGCAAGAAAGCTCCGTCGACAATGCAACATCCAGCTGGCGGAGGATAGACAAAAAGGGGCCTCACTGGGAATCGAAACCGGGACCTCTCACACCCAAAGCGAGAATCATACCACTAGACCACTAGGCCACACTGGTGACGTCTACTCGCCACATTTGCACTCATTATTGCAAGCGGAGACACTACGCACGATACGATTGTGCTCTGATACGGACGACGATATGCTTCTCTTTCGGCGCATGCATTCCACCGTCAGTATCAGCTCTCCGAAACTGACTTTCGCTGCAGGCGCGATGCGACGGGGAGCAGACAACGTTTCACGAGAATCAGTCGTGACTATGTAGCCGTCAGTATGACGCAAGAAAGCTCCATCGACAATGCAACATCCAGCTGGCGGAGGATAGACAAAAGGGGCCTCACCGGGAATCGAAACCGGGACCTCTCACACCCAAAGCGAGAATCATACCACTAGACCACTAGGCCACACTGGTGACGTCTACTCGCCACATTTGCACTGCATATTGCAAGCGGGGACACTACGCACGATACGATTGTGCTCTGATACGGACGACGATATGCTTCTCTTTCGGCGCATGCATTCCACCGTCAGTATCAGCTCTCCGAAACTGACTTTCGCTGCAGGCGCGATGCGACTTGGGAGCAGACCACGTTTACACGAGAATCAGTCGTGACTATGTAGCCGTCAGTATGACGCAAGAAAGCTCCGTCGACAATGCAACATCCGGCTGGCGGAGGATAGACAAAAAAGGGGCCTCACCGGGAATCGAACCCGGGACCTCTCGCACCCGAAGCGAGAATCATACCACTAGACCACGAGGCCACACTGGTGACGTCTACTCGCCACATTTGCACTGGTTATTGCAAGCGGAGACACTACGCACGATACGATTGTGCTCTGATACGGACGACGATATGCTTCTCTTTCGGCGCATGCATTCCACCGTCAGTATCAGCTCTCCGAAACTGACTTTCGCTGCAGGCGCGATGCGACTTGGGAGCAGACCACGTTTACACGAGAATCAGTCGTGATTATGTAGCCGTCAGTATGACGCAAGAAAGCTCCGTCGACAATGCAACATCCAGCTGGCGGAGGATAGACAAAAAGGGGCCTCACCGGGAATCGAACCCGGGACCTCTCGCACCCGAAGCGAGAATCATACCACTAGACCACGAGGCCACACTGGTGACGTCTACTCGCCACATTTGCACTCAATATTGCAAGCGGAGACACTACGCACGATACGATTGTGCTCTGATACGGACGACGATATGCTTCTCTTTCGGCGCATGCATTCCACCGTCAGTATCAGCTCTCCGAAACTGACTTTCGCTGCAGGCGCGATGCGACTGGGAGCAGACAACGTTTTAACGAGGATCAGTCGTGACTATGTAGCCGTCAGTATGACGCAAGAAAGCTCCGTCGACAATGCAACATCCAGCTGGCGGAGGATAGACAAAAAGGGGCCTCACCGGGAATCGAACCCGGGACCTCTCGCACCCGAAGCGAGAATCATACCACTAGACCACGAGGCCACACTGGTGACGTCTACTCGCCACATTTGCACTGGTTATTGCAAGCGGAGACACTACGCACGATACGATTGTGCTCTGATACGGACGACGATATGCTTCTCTTTCGGCGCATGCATTCCACCGTCAGTATCAGCTCTCCGAAACTGACTTTCGCTGCAGGCGCGATGCGACTTGGGAGCAGACCACGTTTACACGAGAATCAGTCGTGATTATGTAGCCGTCATTATGACGCAAGAAAGCTCCGTTGACAATGCAACATCCGGCTGGCGGAGGATAGACAAAAAAGGGGCCTCACCGGGAATCGAACCCGGGACCTCTCGCACCCGAAGCGAGAATCATACCACTAGACCACGAGGCCACACTGGTGACGTCTACTCGCCACATTTGCACTCCAATATTGCAAGCGGAGACACTACGCACGATACGATTGTGCTCTGATACGGACGACGATATGCTTCCTCTTTCGGCGCATGCATTCCACCGTCAGTATCAGCTCTCCGAAACTGACTTTCGCTGCAGGCGCGATGCGACTTGGGAGCAGACCACGTTTTACACGAGGATCAGTCGTGACTATGTAGCCGTCAGTATGACGCAAGAAAGCTCCGTCGACAATGCAACATCCAGCTGGCGGAGGATAGACAAAAAGGGGCCTCACCGGGAATCGAACCGGGACCTCTCACACCCAAAGCGAGAATCATACCACTAGACCACTAGGCCACACTGGTGACGTCTACTCGCCACATTTGCACTGGTTATTGCAAGTGGAGACACTACGCACGATACGATTGTGCTCTGATACGGACGACGATATGCTTCTCTTCGGCGCATGCATTCCACCGTCAGTATCAGCTCTCAGAAACTGACTTTCGCTGCAGGCGCGATGCGACTTGGGAGCAGACAACGTTTAACGAGGATCAGTCGTGACTATGTAGCCGTCAGTATGACGCAAGAAAGCTCCGTCGACAATGCAACATCCGGCTGGCGGAGGATAGACAAAAGGGGCCTCACCGGGAATCGAACCCGGGACCTCTCGCACCCGAAGCGAGAATCATACCACTAGACCACGAGGCCACACCCCGGTGAGTCGACTACCTCGCCCATTTGCACTGGTTATTGCACGGCAGACACCACGCACGATACGATTGAGCTCTGATTACGGACGACGTATGCTTCTCTTTCGGCGCATGCATTCCACCGTCAGTATCAGCTCTCCGAAACTGATCCCGATGCAGGAGCGATGCGACTTGGGAGCAGACAACGTTTTAACGAGGATCAGTCGTGACTATGTAGCCGTCAGTATGACGCAAGAAAGCTCCGTCGACAATGCAACATCCAGCTGGCGGAGGATAGACAAAAAGGGGCCTCACCGGGAATCGAACCCGGGACCTCTCGCACCCAAAGCGAGAAACATACCACTAGACCACGAGGCCACACTGGTGACGACTACTCGCCACATTTACACTGGTTATTGCAAGTGGAGACACTACGCACGATACGATTGTGCTCTGATACGGACGACGATATGCTTCTCTTTCGGCGCATGCATTCCACCGTCAGTATCAGCTCTCAGAAACTGACTCTCGCCGCAGGGCGATGCGACTTGGGAGCAGACCACGCTTTTACACGAGAATCAGTCGTGATTATGTAGCCGTCAGTATGGACGCAAGAAAGCTCCGTCGACAATGCAACATCCGGCTGGCGGAGGATAGACAAAAAGGGGCCTCACCGGGAATCGAACCCGGGACCTCCGAACCCAAAGGCGAGAATCGTACCACTAGACCACGAGGCCACACTGGTGACGTCCACTCGCCACATTTGCACTCATATTGCAAGCGGAGACACTACGCACGATACGATTGTGCTCTGATACGGACGACGATATGCTTCTCTTTCGGCGCATGCATTCCACCGTCAGTATCAGCCTCCAAAACTGACTTTCGCTGCATGCGCGATGCGACTTGGGAGCAGACCACGTTTACACGAGAATCAGTCGTGATTATGTAGCCGTCAGTATGACGCAAGAAAAAGCTCCGTCGACAATGCAACATCCAGCTGGCGGAGGATAGACAAAAGGGGCCTCACCGGGAATCGAACCCCGGGACCTCTCGCACCCAAGCGAGAATCATACCACTAGACCACGAGGCCACACTGGTGACGTCTACTCGCCACATTTGCACTCAATATTGCAAGCGGAGACACTACGCACGATACGATTGTGCTCTGATACGGACGACGATATGCTTCCCCTTCGGCGCATGCATTCCACCGTCAGTATCAGCCTCCGAAACTGACTTTCGCTGCAGGCGCGATGCGACTTGGGAGCAGACCACGTTTTAACGAGGATCAGTCGTGACTATGTAGCCACTGGGTATGACGCTAAGAAAGCTCCGTCGATATGCAACATCCAGCTGGCGGAGGATAGACAAAAGGGGCCCCATCGGGAATCGAACCCGTGACCTCTCACACCGAAGCGAGAATCATACCACCAGACCACGAGGCCACACTGGTGACGACTACTCGCCACATTGTTAGCACTGGTTATTGCAAGCGGAACACTAATCACGATACGATTGTGCTCTGATACGGACGACTATATGCTTCTCTTCCGGCGCATGCATTCCACCGTCAGTATCAGCTCTCCGAAACTGACTTTCGCTGCAGGCGCGATGCGACGGGGGAGCAGACAACGTTTTAACGAGGATCAGTCGTGACTATGTAGCCGCCGGGGTATGACGCAAGAAAGCTCCGTCGACAATGACATCCAGCTGGCGGAGGATAGACAAAAAGGGGCCTCACCGGGAATCGAACCCTGGACCTCTCGCACCCGAAGCGAGAAACATACCACTAGACCACGAGGCCACACTGGTGACGTCTACTCGCCACATTTGCACTGCTGGTACGTAAGCGGAGACACTACGCACGATACGATTGTGCTCTGATACGGACGACGATATGCTTTTCTCTTCGGCGTATGCTTCCACCGTCAGTATCAGCTCTCCGAAACTGACTTTCGCTGCAGGCGCGATGGACTTGGGAGCAGACCACGCTTTACACGAGGAATCAGTCGTGATTATGAGCCGTCAGTATGACGCAAGAAAGCTCCGTCGACAATGCAACATCCAGCTGGCGGAGGATAGACGGGGGAAAGGGGCCTCACCGGAATCGAACCCGGGACCTCTCGCACCCTAGCGAGAATCATACCACTAGACCACGAGGTTACAACTGGTGACGTCTACTCGCCACATTTGCACTTAATATTGCAAGCGGAGACACTACGCACGATACGATTTTGCTCTGATACGACGACGATATGCTTCTCTTTCGGCGCATGCATTCCACCGTCAGTATCAGCTCTCCCAAACTGACGTTCGATGCAGGCAGGCGCGATGTGACTTTGGGAGCAGACAACGTTTTAACGAGGATCGTCGTGACATTATGTAGCCGTCAGTATGACACAAGAAAGCTTCATCGACAATGCAACATCCAGCTGGCGGAGGATAGACAAAAGGGGCCTCACTGGGAATCGAAACCGGGACCTCTCACACCCAAAGCGAGAATCATACCACTAGACCACTAGGCCACACCGGTGACGACTACTCGCCACATTTGCACTGGATATTGCAAGGAGACACTACGCAGATACTGATTGTGCTCTGATACGGACGACGATATGCTTCCTCTCTGGCGCATGCATCCACCGTCAGTATCAGCCTCCGAAACTGACTTTCGACGCAGGGCGATGCGACCTGGGAGCAGACAACGTTTCTATACGAGGATCAGTCGTGACGATGTAGCCGTCAGTATGACGCGAGAAAGCTCCGTCGACAATGCAACACCCAGCTGGCGGAGGATAGACAAAAAGGGGTCACCTCACCGGGGAATCGAACCCGGGACCTCTCGACCCAAAGCCGTGAGAATCATACCACTAGACCACGAGGCCACACCGGTGACGTCTACTCGCGGCATTTGCACTCATTGCAAGGGAGATACACTACGCACGATACGATCGTTTTCCTGATACGGACGACGATATGCTCTCTCTCGGCGCATGCATTCCACCGTCAGTATCAGCTCTCCGAAACTGACTTCTCGCCGCAATACTTGAGAAAACAGAGGATAACGAACCCCCCTGAGGCGCGATGCGACTTGGGAGCAGACCACGTTTTTACACGAGGATCAGTCGTGACTATGTAGCCGTCAGTAGACGCAAGAAAGCCTCCGTCGACAATGCAACATCCAGCTGGCGGAGGATAGATTGCAAAAAGGGGCCCCACTGGAATCGAACCCTGGACCTCTCGCACCCAAAGCGAGAATCATACCACCAGACCACGAGGCCACACTGGTGACGTCTACTCGCCACATCTGCACGGTTATTGCAAGTGGAGACACTACGCACGATACTGGATTGTGCCCTGATACGGACGACGATATGCTTTCTCCTCTCGGCGCATGTATCTCCACCGTCAGTATCAGCTCTCCGAAACCGACTTTTCGCCGCAGGCGCGATGCGACTTGGGAGCAGACCACGTTTTAACGAGGATCAGTCGTGATTATGTAGCCGCCTTCAGTATGACGTGGCGGGAAAGCTCCGTCGACAATGCAACATCCGGCTGGCGGAGGATGGACAAAAGGGGCCTCACCGGGAATCGAACCCGGGACCTCTCGCACCTAAAGCGAGAATCATACCACTGCACCACGAGGCCACACTGGTGACGTCTACTCGCCACATTTGCACTCAATATTGCAAGGAGACACTACGCACGATACGATTGTGCTCTGATACGGACGACGATGGTGCTTCTCTTTCGGCGCATGCATCTCCACCGTCAGTATCAGCTCTCCGAAACCGACTTTCGCTGCAGGGCGATGCGACTTGGGAGCAGACAACGTTTTTAACGAGGATCAGTCGTGACTATGTAGCCGTCAGTATGACGCAAGAAAAAGCTCCGTCGACAATGCAACATCCAGCTGGCGGAGGATAGACAAAAAGGGGCCTCACCGGGAATCGAACCCGGGACCTTCTCGCACCCAAAGCGAGAATCATACCACTAGACCACGAGGCCACACTGGTGACGTCTACTTTACCCATTTGTACTCAATATTGCAAGTGGAGACACTACGCACGATACGATTGTGCTCTGATACGGACGACGATATGCTTCCTCTTTCGGCGCATGCATTCCACCGTCAGTATCAGCTCTCCGAAACTGACTTTCGCTGCAGGCGCGTGATCGACAGGGAGCAGACCACGTTTTACACGAGGATCAGTCGTGACTACTTCAGTAGCCGTCAGTATGACCCTGCAAGAAGGCTCCGTCGACAATGCAACATCCGGCTGGCGGAGGATAGACAATAAGGGGCCTCACCGGGAATCGAACCCGGGACCCTCTCGCACCCGAAGCGAGAAAACATACCACTAGACCACGAGGCCACACTGGTGACGACTACTCGCCACATTTGCACTGGTTGTTGCAAGCGGAGACACTACGCACGATACGATTGTGCTCTGATACGGACGACGATATGCTTCTCTTTCGGCGCATGCATTCCACCGTCAGTATCAGCTCTCCGAAACTGACTTTCGCCGCAGAGCGATGCGACTTGGGAGCAGACAACGTTTCAACGAGGATCAGTCGTGACTATGTAGCCGTCAGTATGACGCAAGCAAAAGCTCCGTCGACAATGAACATCCGGCTATGGAGGATAGGATGAAAAAGGGGCCTCACCGGGAATCGAACCGGGGAATTCTTCGCACCTGAAGCGAGAAACATGATCACTAGACCACGAGGCCACACTGGTGACGTCTACTCGCCGTACATTTGCACTGGTTATTGCAAGTGGAGACACTACGCACTAACAGACGTGCTCTGATACGGACGACGATATGCTTTCTCTTTCGGCGCATGCATTCCACCGTCAGTATCAGCTCTCCGAAACTGACGATCGCTGCAGCGATGCGACTGGGAGCAGACCACGTTTACACGAGGATCAGTCGTGACTATGTAGCCGTCAGTATGACGCAAGAAAGCTCCGTCGACAATGCAACATCCGGCTGGCGGAGGATAGACAAAAGGGGCCTCACCGGGAATCGAACCCGGGACCTCTCGCACCCAAAGCGAGAATCATACCATCAGGACCAGAGGCCACACTTGGAAGATGCCACTCGCCACATTTGCACTCAATATTGCAAGTGGAGACACTACGCACGATACGATTGTGCTCTGATACGACGATGATATGCTTTCCTTCGGCGCATGCATTCCACCGTCAGTATCAGCTCTCCGAAACTGACTTTCGCTGCAGGCGCGATGCGACTTGGGAGCAGACCACGTTTTAACGAGGATCAGTCGTGATTATGTAGCCGTCAGTATGACGCAAGAAAGCTCCGTCGACAATGCAACATCCGGCTGGCGGAGGATGGACAAAAAGGGGCCTCACCGGGAATCGAACCCGGACCCCGCACCTAAAGCGAGAATCATACCACTAGACCACGAGGCCACACTGGTGACGTCTACTCGCCACATTTGCACTCAATATTGCAAGTGGAGACACTACGCACGATGGATTGTGCTCTGATACGGACGACGATATGCTTCTCTTTCGGCGCATGTATCTCCACCGTCAGTATCAGCTCTCCGAAACTGACTTTCTTCGCTGCAGGGGCGCGATGCGACTTGGGAGCAGACAACGTTTTAACGAGGATCAGTCGTGATTATGTGCAGCTGCCAGTATGACGCGCAAGAAGGCTCCGTCGACAATGCAAATATCCGGCTGGCGGAGGATAGACAAAAAGGGGCCTCACCGGGAATCGAACTCCGGGACCTCTCGCACCCAAAGCGAGAATCATACCACTAGACCACGAGGCCACACTGGTGACGTCTACTGGCATCATTTGCACTCATATTGCAAGCGGAGACACTACGCACGATACGATTGTGCTCTGATACGGACGACGATATGCTTTTCTTTCGGCGCATGCATTCCAATCGTCAGTATCAGCTCTCCCAAACCGACGTTCGCTGCAGGCGTGATGCGACTTGGGGCAGACAAACGTTTTAACGAGGATCAGTCGTGACTTATGTAGCCGTCAGTATGACGCAAGAAAGCTTCATCGACAATGCAAACATCCAGTGGCGGAGGATAGACAAAAGGGGCCTCACCGGGAATTGAACCCGGGACCTCTCGCACCCAAAGCGAGAATCATACCACTAGACCACGAGGCCACACTGGTGACGTCTACTCGCCACATTTGCACTGGTTATTGCAAGTGGAGACACTACGCACGATACGATTGTGCTCTGATACGGACGACGATATGCTTCTCTTTCGGCGCATGCATTCCACCGTCAGTATCAGCTCTCCGAAACTGACTTTCGCTGCAGGCGCGATGCGACTTGGGAGCAGACCACGTTTACACGAGAATCAGTCGTGATTATGTAGCCGTCAGTATGACGCAAGAAAGCTCCGTCGACAATGCAACATCCGGCTGGCGGAGGATAGACAAAAAGGGGCCTCACCGGGAATCGAACCCGGGACCTCTCGCACCCGAAGCGAGAATCATACCACTAGACCACGAGGCCACACTGGTGACGTCTACTCGCCACATTTGCACGGATATTGCAAAGTGGAGACACTACGCACGATACGATTGTGCTCTGATACGGACGACGATAAGCTTCTCTTTTCGGCGCATGCATTCCACCCGTCAGCATCAGCTCTCAGAAACTGACTTTCGCTGCAGGGCGAGCGACTGGAGCAGACAACGTTTAACGAGGATCAGTGTGACTAGTAGCGTCAGTATGACGCAAGATAGCCCGTCGACAATGCAACATCCAGCTGGCGGAGGATGGACAAAAAGGGGCCCACCGGGAATCGAACCGGGACCTCTCGCACCCAAAGTGCGAGAATCATACCACTATACCATCGAGGCCACACTGGTGACGTCTACTCGCCACATTGTTACCACGCATTATTGCAAGTGGGAACACTACGCACGATACGATTGTGCTCTGATACGGACGACGATATGCTTCTCTTTCGGCGCATGCATTCCACAGTCAGTATCATTCTACCGAAACTGACGTTCGCTGCAGGCGCGATGCGACTTGGGAGCAGACCACGTTTCACGAGAATCAGTCGTGATTATGTAGCCGTCAGAAGGACGCAAGAAAATCTCCGTCGATAATGCA